TGTAGATAAGGGCAGCACAGCCAATATCCTACAACTTTCGATGGTCCAGTAGATAGGAATGGAGGCCAAGATCAACAGGTCTGCCAGGTCGATGACCGACTTCAACGGAGCAACCACGATTACTATTTTCAGCGCTCAGACGTCTACTCCCCACCAGTGATCAGCGCTCATACATTCATGATAATTAACAAAGTCTCTCCCTAAAATGGCATCCTAGGCATACCATGGATTGACAAGATCAACACTGTCACATCAGCCACGAACTAGAAAATCTATTACCCAATCCCTAGGGGCGGTGTCGGTCAGATCAACAACAATCAAGCGATGATAAGAAAGTGCTCAGCTCAAGGGCTAAAGAAAAGCAAGCAAGCGTAGTTCGTCCCTAAAAATCAAGCAGATCTAAAGGGAGCCGAACAAGCAAGGGAGGAAGTAGATCTCGTTCCTGGCAGTCGAGCAGACAAGAAATGAAAGGGAATAGTCATTCCCCAATAGCAATTAAAGAGTCAGGTATGTCAAACTAGTACCTCTTGATCCTGATAAGCCAGAGAGAAAAGTGTGAATCGACTCGAGCCTGAGCCCAGAAGAAAAGGTGGAGCTTATAGCGTTCCCCTAAAACAACAAAGATGCGTTTGCATGGTCATCATTTGACATGCCAAGTATCAATCCACAGATCATCTGCCATCGCTTTCACATCAACCCAGCCAGCAGACTAGTAGCACAGAATATACGCAACTTCGCTCCCAAGTGAGTTGCCATCATCGAAGCCGAGATTGACAAGCTTCTAGCTGCCACTTTCAATAAAGAAGTCTCCTACTCATAGTGGCAGGCCAATGTTGTTTTAGTGGCAAAGAAAGACCAAGGCAAGTGGAGAGTGTGCGTGGACTACACTGACCTTAACAAGGCGTGCCTGAAAGACAACTTTCCCCTGCCAAGAATTTATCAGCTCGTAGATTCAACTTCCGGCAATCAACTACTAAGCTTCATGAACACTTACTCCGGCTACAATCAAATCATGATGCATGAGGATTATAAAGTAAATACTACTTTCATAATTGAAAGAGGCATATACTGCTACAAAGTCATGCCCTTTGTGCTGAAGAACGTATGAGCAACATACCAGAGGCTTGTGAACAAGATTTTCAAGGAGCAGATTGGCAAGACTATGGAGGTCTGCATAGATGAAATGATTGTCAAAGCTCTCCGATAAGTATATCACATCAAGAATCATACCAAAGCATTCAGCCTGTTACGAAAGTACCACACGAAGTTTAACCCAAGCATGAGCACATTTGGAGTCTCATCGGGCCGATTTTTGAGGTACTTAGTCACCCAAAGAGGCATCGAAGCACATCCGAATCAAATCAAGGAAAATCCTCAACATGAAGTCACCTGTAACACCCCGACCCAACAAATTATTTTTATTTAATTATTTAATTGTGCAATTACATTTGTGCCCTTAGGGTAGGGGCACTTTAGTCACTTTTGTTTCGCCAAGATTTTGGGGAATTGAGTGGTACCATTGCTTAGAGCTTGCTGATACGAGTTTGTAGACAGGTGGCAGGTTCAAGTCAGAGTTAAAACGAAGAAGTTATGATATACAGAAATGTCGTGGCACAACCGTAATTTTTACAAAGTCAAGATTTTAAAAACTGGACTGCCCCTTTTTCTCTCATTCTCTCTCTCTCTCTCTCTCTCTCTCGTCGCAACATTTTGGGACCAAGATCGCCGACGTTTTCTCTCTCATCCGATCATGGTTTTTGGCGATCTTGGTCCCAAAATTCTCGCCTCTTCCTCCTCTACCCAACCCAGTCCATTTCGTAGCTCGAAACCTCAGAATATCCGGCTGTGACGACGAGAAGCTTCCGCAGTTTTTGACGTCGTTCCAGCGACTCCAATGATTGTTTCCATCGATCAAGGTATGGTTCTTCATCCTTTCAACGTGATATAGTTGTTTATGTAAGTGGATTGGATAGTTTTTGGAGTTTGAGAAATCAATCAAAATTCGCATCTTAGGTTGGTGGTTTGGCCGTGATTTCACCCAATTCCGGCCACTTTTTGGCCGTGGTCCGAGACCAAAAGTTGTTCCTTTAGTTGTGTTTGACCAGTTGGTATAGGTATTGGCTGGAGATTTGAAGTTTTCCCGTCCTCGGAATGGTAGTGCGTGTGACCCATTGTAGTGATCTATTAGGTTCTAAACTACTCCCCATATCGTCTAGAGCACGACAGTATGCTCAGATTAGCGATGGGTTACCGTTTGATTATCGAATGGGTATTGTGCCTATTATGCGATATCCGAGTTCGATAGGTTCAAAATGTTCGATCGGTTCCATTTTCAAATATGTCATTCCCCGTACCTCTAGGATCATGTAGGAAATTGTTAATCGCGAATCGGAGTCTTGGATACTCCGAATCAACGATTTTAGGGTTAGGCGAATCAATCGTCGTCCAATCGTATGATTAAGAGTGATCCAACCGCCTGATCGAGACCAAACCCTTGAGACCTGTTAAGTAGACTTCGTTGGACCTATAGGAACTTTCGAATCAGAAATCGGAGGTCGTGGGCCTTGTGGGCCCAAACCCTCTCCACCATAGTTGAAGAAGAACAACATCCAATGTAATTTCATCTATTTATTTCCATTTAATAAAGTGATCTAATCACACAAACATCAAATGCAAGTTCAAGTTTTCATTCAACCAAGTGTTTGAGAAGATATCCAAAATGTCATAAGGGAGATGTAGGCAATCTGCCAAAACGTCCTAAGGGAGACGTTGACTGTCCAAAACGTCAAAATTATAACCCTTATATAAATATTATAAAAATAATATTCACTTCTTTAATTCAATTTTCCCAAATATTTATTCATAGTATAAACTCTCAAACATATATTCCATAAGAACCCAAAAATAATTCAAATAGTAATCAAAACATGTTTACACTTAATTTCCATAACATACTATATTCTACAATCAAAATAATAGACTTTCGTAAACAACCCTCTATCACCCAATCCATATACTTTAATAATAATCATAATAATATAAAATAATGATAAATGATAACCCTTAGAGATCCCATATCCTCATCGAGTTACAAAACGCAGAAATTGATCCTATTCCACCCAACCATCAGGTAGAACACATTGAGATA